TCCGATGGAAATGCCCATATACACTATGCATTATTCAGCTGCACCACGCTGCGCCGGGTTTTATACTTCGTCACTCAATTTTACAACAACAATGCTACTTACACATACACATACATGTTCGAAAACACATATGTATGTATGTGTATACGTATATAGGCATATTCGCAGTATGTATGAATTTATACGCAAGTTGCAGTCGCTTTTGTTGCTGTTATCACTAAGATTGATTAAGTTGTTTTATTTGCAATGCGAATAGCCACAGACAACCAATTATTGACATAGACAGTCGTTTTAATGTTCACTGTCAACGTTTTTTTTGCACTGCTCCATGCACTTTAAGTGTGTTTTTGTTTACTCTGCTTAGCGATTAATTCAAAGTCTTTACTTATGTTGATTAAATTTATTTTGTTTTTTTTTCAACTTTATTTTATTTATTTTTTCTTTTATTTTAATCATTTAAACAATTTTTTATTTCATTTCGTTTTATTTTTTGATTTTATTTGTTTTTGTAATTTAAGTTTTGAAATTTTTTTATTTTACCTTGTTTCGTTTTATTTTATTTGACTAAATATAATTTTATTTATTTATTTTTCATGTGATTTTTTGTTTGATTTATTTTAGGTTTTTATTTTTTTACCTTTTTAATTTATAAAATTTTATGCTTTATATTTTTTGTTTTTATTTTTAGATTTTTTAACTTTGCTATTAATGTATTCGTATCTTTTATTGTACTCTATTTTATTTTATAATAAGATTTTTTTAACTTTATTTTATTTGTGTTAATGATTATTTTATTTTGGTTTTATTTGAATTTATTTTATTTTATTATTGAATTTGTATATACATATGTATGTATGTACATTGTGAAAATAGATAGTGTGCAATGAAGTACAACGTGGTTAAATTTATTTATTTTTTACTCTTATTTAATTTTTATTTTACCTAATATTTTTACTTGTAATTTTTCTGATATACTAATTATTCTATTGTTTGTTTTTTGTTAATTTTACGTTTATTTTTTTGTTTTAATTTTGTATACATTTTTAAATTAAAACAATACTTTTTTTAGTATTTTTAAATTATTTCAGTTTTTTTAATTGGTAATGTTTCGGTTTATTTAATTTGGTTTAACTTTTTTGTTTATTTTGTTTTGATGGTTTTACATGTTTAAATTAAAGCAATACTTTTTTAAATATTTTTAATTTATTTAAATTTAAATTTAAATTTATTGATTTAATTCTTCTTGATTACATTTTTCTTTCAATTTTTATTTCTTCTACTTTCTTAATATTTTTATCTTTTAACGTATGTATGTACATATTATAGGTTTTCTTTTATTTCTATTAAATTTATCGTGTTTGTTTTATTTTTTACTGTGTTTTTTTCATATTTTTCGTTGTGCTTTACTTCATTTCGTTTTATTTTATTTTACTTTACTTAATTTTAAAAATGTTCAATTGTTATAATTTTTTTGTTTCTTGTTTTATTTCTTGTATCTTATTAATCTTGTTTTATATTTAATATTTTTTATTTTATTTTGTTTTTGTTTATTAAAGTTTTTTTAATAGCTTATATTTTGTTTTAGTTTTTTTTTTTAGTTGTCATATTTTGTTATTTATTTTATTTTAGTTATATTGTTAAATTTAATTATAGTTTTATTTATTACATTTAATTTATTTACTTATTTTTTTTAATTTTTTATTTGTTTTTTATTATTTTGTTTTATTTTTATTTTTGATTTATTTTTTTTCTACTTTTTCTATTTTTACTTTTCTCATTGCTATTGTTTTTGTAATTAGTACTTGTTAATTGCTATTTTTTTATACCCGCCGATACAATATCTACTAAACGAAAATGTTTTATTACTCCTTTATTGGCTATGCATTTCTCAGCCCAACAGAAATAGACGCAGCTTTGTTGTTATTCTTTGTTTACATGCCACTTGCCGCCTTTGCGATTTTCTTCATTTCAAATTACATAAATCTAATGCTATGTGTACATATGCACGCTTATGCGTTTACATACAAAAATGTGCATCTATGTATGTATGTAAATACGTCTATGTATATATATTCTTTTTAAGCCTCAATTTTTTATTGCTTCGCTTCTTAATCGCCGCGATTGTAAAAATCAACATTTTATGTTTCACATTCTCAATCATTTTTGTGTTTTTTTTGCTTTTGTTTTCGTTGTTAAAATGCAAATTCCTTCTACTGCCGTTGCATTTGTGTGGCGTCCACAAATGCATAAAAACCCAAACAACAACTGTTTAACAACAATCTATACTTCCGCTTTCGTAACCGCAATAGCAGACAGTGACTCGCTATCTAGAAAAGGTATTTACATGTTTACAAGTATTTATTTAACAATTTATTAGATATGACAGTGCTACACCCTAAAGAATCAGATTACTCCCACATAGCGGAATCTTATAAATCCATTGATTATTTCTTGCATTCTTCTCGTTTATATTATGAGTACATATTCACATATCGCTTTACGTAGTATAAAGAAAATATTCTGTGCTTTGATGTTCGCAGCCGGCAGTCTTGAATGTTTTACTACGGCAAACTTTTCTTCGATCATATTATATGTAAGTATATACTGACCAACTGAATCTAATGTTTTTTTCACTTAGTATGCACACAGAATTATCTCACTAAACCTAAATTCTAAATGCTCCCACCAGTTATGGTGGCTTCCGCTGCAATCGAGCTTTTAGAGGTTAAATTAATTCTATATGACACGGTAAGATGAAGGATAAATGCCTGGTCCGTGGAATTCTAGAATATATTTTGTGTACCAAAGTTCTTATTAGAAGTCCGCAATCAGTAGTGAGTGCTGTAATACACGAACGAAATTAGATATAAAGGGAGGCTTAATTGGAAGTTTCATCTAGATGTAATGCCGCCCGAGGTATGTGGGCTTGTAGAAACCTCTTAGATCAAGCGTAGGACCGGAGGTCAAGGTCTATAAAGTAGCCTTACAGCAGGGTTTTCTGTGAATTTTTGGTTTACACTTCCAGAGTTTATGACTAAAAGCACTGAAAAGGCTTGCACCTCTCCCGATTACAGGATCACTGAAAACTTGCGCAATTGTGGGTCAGAAAAAGTTTCTTGGATAGACTGCTATTCATAATTTTTGACTAGGCGGCAGCAGCCTCGAGTGAGTTGCGGTTGTCTGAAACAAAATTATTGAAGGAATGAAGGAAACTTGTTCAAAATTCCATTATCATAGAGTAGACATCAAAAGAGTATTCGTGATATGATTGCTAGGTGGGAAAGATTAAGAGATTTCCAAGTTAAACTACCAGAATGGGAAGTGTGGATAAATTGACTCCTTATGATTAGCCGAATTGCATAGCAATCCTTACAAAATTTGATGACAGAACGGGTGATGGTAATTAAAACCCGGGAACAGAACTTTAATTTGCAAAGAACAAACGGCCTGCCATGCTTCACGCTGAGGCACTAGCAATCTCGAACTGGGCCTGCCTAGCTATTGATAAAGGATTAAAGGTGGCACTTATATATAGGTATCTTCCCAGAAAACCCAGCGGGAGAGGAATTCTGTGTAGCACTAATATGACACTATTAAGTTCTTGGTGGCAAATATGGAAACCCTATGCTGACTACCGGACTAATGTAGAATTGACCTCATCCAATTCACTGAGAGAAACTGGCAAGATATTAATTTTTAACGGCATTTAAGGGATCAGAACCACCTTGCGGTTTCAGTTGGTTTTTTTCCAACATTTTAAAGAGGTTAAGACGCGAGCTGAGCTAAGCTGAGGTACAGCGGCGCGGAGTTGATATGGTTTATGGACGAAGAGCGACCCTTTCGCAGGCGCCTAATACTAGAAATTAGCTTTCTAACCATCGGCGGTTGCCAGGAAATTAAAAAATCAATGCGAAAGAAATGAGAAAATCAGTCGCCGATTGGCTGCGATGTCTAAATTTAGTATACCCGCGATAGTAGACGAGTGTGTGAGAAATAGAACTGAGATAGGATTGGCATGTCAAGCCTTCATTTGTGCTCATTATTCGATGCACTAAGGACATGGGTTTGATAATAATAATATTTTGGCGCTAACTTTTTGCTAAGTGATTAGCCCAGCTTTTCCTCAAATTTGGCACACAATGGAAGGATCCTAAATTTTTACACCTTTTTCGAATTTAGGTGTTGCTGGGACAAAGGATCGAACCCAGGTCCTACGGAGTGGTAGTACGCAGCTCTACTCAATTATCATGGCCGCTTTAAACGTTGGACTTCCCACCAGAATAAGAAGTCACAGTGGACCATTTGTCATATGCCCGCCAGGCTCGGAACCTTGAACCCGGTTAATGTAGAAGCTATAGATATGAGGCACACCTTCTACACAGCACTTTCCTTATAACTTCTGTACATTCCGTTGAAGAGCCTATGTGGGGTGACTTTTTGGGGGACCTATCCAACTTGAATTCGACAGGAAATAAGTTTGGTTTAAAGACATGTAAGAGCGCAACTGTGGGAAATCCTCTACTGAGCATCGCAATGCCCGTATGTAGCCTCCGAGTGAACTCTTTGGCAGAGTATAACTGCCCGTCTAACTAGATACCACTAGCTCCGCCGGAATAGAAGAAAGTTCTCAGGGCGACACCACATTTCTGACGTTTGTTTGCGATATTGACGTAATCGATCCCAACAATCACGAAGAGCAATTTGGGTAAGGATGCGAAGCGATGACGATAAACGAAGCATTTCTAAATGTGCCTATATGGATTGTCGACGGAGACAGAACCTGTGCGTTTCGCCGGTCTTGGACTGACAGACATTTATGTTCCTATATTTCCTGCCTTCCATAGTTCAATCGTTTAAAATAAGGAGCTAATCGGCATGAACAAATCTCATAACTAGCGGAGTCTCATGTCTTCGGACCAAGTTATTTTAGCTCTATATTAATTTGTTAGTTTTTGCTACTCACCTTATAAAAAGAAAATCCAACGCTGCAAAAGAAATGCCCGCGTCATTACCCAAAAGGCCTGCAATAAAAGAAAGTAAAGCAGATAATTAGTTAACATTTTTCATTGGTTTAGGTCTTAGCTGTAAAAGAAATATTTGCAATGATTTTCAATATTTGTTAGTTTCCGTTTAGCCGCAACACATCACCTTTGGGTAAATAAATAATCCGGTCGCTCTGCTTATTTTCAGAACACGTACTTTTCACACTTTTCTCAAACACACGCGCTCTAGAAAACTTAAAAAAAAATACGAAGAGCTCACTGCGCAAAAAATGCCGCGTTGCGTGCGAAAGTACAAAAAATTCACCAGCTAAGTTAATGAAAAGTCGCGTTTAAATGATATGAAAATATCGGTTGACGCATTTTGTCTTCGGGCGGCGAATGAGACATAAAAAAACAGACACACAGACGCACTATCGATTGCTGCCATTGAGCAAGTGAGAGTGTAAGAGAGCGCGCGTCGAAAGCACAGCAGCTGATTGACGCTCAAATTGCAACAACGCGCCGACTTGTGGGTTGTTAGCTCAGCGATACGAGTTGTGCGCATGCGCAGATGCTAATTGAAAACTATGGAAATGTGCGCGACGCAATTAACAACTATCGCAATGCGAAAGTCTGTGTCAAAATGTGCACAAAAATGAAATGCGAAGTGAGTGTGTTTTTGTGAGTTGAGCGACCGAAAGAGATTGCAGAGCGACTAAAGACTAAAAACAAAAGAGATGTGTGGGTAAGTAAGACGCAAAAAGGTTATGGAAATTCTTGAGTATAAATTCTCGCAAAGCAGAGTTTGCAATAAAAATAAAAGTATTAAAAAGAAAAAAAGCACAAGCAAACAAACAGCAAAAATGCACAGAACGCGTTACAACGCCACCGCCGACTGAAGGTTACATACCAAATTGCTTGTGACAGTGGCGGCGACAGCGCCAACAGTAGCAGCTGCAGCAGCAGCAAGAACATTGCACAGAAACAACTGGAATTGAAATAGCGGCTGTGCGAGTCATTTTTGCGCTAGCCATACAAAATAAATTGGCAGCCAAGTCCAAGGATACTGTCGGCGCTGACCAACGGCACCACGGCGCATTAAGTGACTGTGCAAATAGCTGGTGCGCGCGCATGCGCCAAGAACAATTCTTGCCCGCTTGGCCGTCAACAATAGCAGTGCGGTGGCGGTGAGAGTTTAGCGAGCAGACAACTTGGCCATAACAGGTGGCAGCACTGCGAAATCGTCAAATCAGCGACTATCGATTGCAAGCGTGCTGCGGCGCTTTTAGACAACGATCATGCGACGCGTTCGCGTTCGCGTTCTCGATTTCGGTTGCGGCTACTGTTGTTGATTGTTGATTGTTTTGTGCACGTTCTAAGCGGGTGGCCGTTTATGCTAATATGCTAATTAGTAATATATTAACTTAATAACGGTACATCGTGTGCAGATTTGCATACATGCAGGCATGCATGTCAAGCATGTCGTCCAACACCACCACCAGCCAGCGTCGAGTCGAGTGTGTGGCGATTGGTAAAAAGCAATTTTCATTACCATTTCAATACAGGGTGCGGCTTTTATTGCTGTCGCTCGCTTTATCGCCGCACCAATCGCACATGGAGCGTTACATAGATGGAAGCATTTTACATGCATTTTATGTTGTTATGGAACCTTTCAAGGTTACTGTCTGCTAATGGTTGTCATGGCCTTATCTGCAATCGCAGTGATTGTTGCAGGTGGTCAGAAGAGTGTTTGTTAATAGCAATGTGATGGCAAGTGGGGTAATGCAGAATAGTATTTAAAGAAGGTGACCAAGGAATGGACTTTAATTCAGGTCCGTCAATTGGTCCATTAGATAACAATATGGTAAATTTACGGTGTGGTTTATGTGGAGTTTGAATTTTCCTATTCCGTTTTTTGGTTACGGGCCTGATATTTCCTCTGGAAAAAATCCTGAAGCTCTTTTAGTCAGAAGTTTTTGGGGTATTACCCAAAAAGCTAAACGGCTACTGAAGATATGAAGCTAGGAATTGGCGGTGGCTGTCATCTGCTTGGCAAATTAAAATTCTCAAGATATTTGAACAGATAAGTTAAAAAGATCTATTGAAAGATCCATTGTAGAAAGAAAGATCTATTGTAGTAAGAAAGAGCTACTTATTAAGCCAAGGTAGTTCCAAGCACCTCACAAAAAACTGCCAGAAAATCCTATTTGAGGTAGGAGTCTATTTCGAATAGGCCAAGCAGGAAGAAGTGTAATAGTATGGCTACATACCAAGGGCCTCGTTTGGATGAAAGGAGGAAAGCAGTGCAGAGATCCAGAAAGTTTTGGTGAAGACATTGTCAAATATCTCTTGCTGCACGGCTCCGGGAGAAGGAAGACCTCATATTCCCTTACACGCTGTACGGTAAATATTCCTACGCTTTTAAGTAGAGGTTTAGGTAATCGGGAGCTGGTATCGCTTATACCCGATCAGAATCCACAGTGACATTAAATTTAAAATTCAACTAAAATTACCTGATATGAGCTTGTAGCTTCTCAAAACCTAGCCAGTAGTGAGGGCTGGGGCTAAATTCCACCACAGAAGAGGAATCAGACTGAACTTAGGTGGGTAATATGACACTGTGGTTTTCAAGCAAACGAATAGACTGGTAAATTGGCGCTTTAGATTTTCGGCTCAACGAATAATTATTGCAATTGGCTTTGCATAGACTAGGGGTCTAGTGAATACAAGATCTTGAGTACTCAAGTCAAAGCTTCTTGTCGCAGCCCCGATACCTAAAAGGACAACAACTTAATTTTTCTTGAGAAAGCTAAAGTGGTACTCCATATCAAAGCAAAGGGTAGCAGACCTAGGAGTAATGGGTGATGCCCAACTAAGCAATAAATGCCATCCCCCAAGCTGATACCTACCGATATTCACCTGAAATAAGTGGATCGGACTCAGAGAGTCAGGCGAATAAATATTTCGAGAATGGTATCAGTAACGAAATGTAACTAGGAAGGACGACATACCACATTGTTGCAGATTGATACTTTAGCTGTGGCTTCTAAATGCGATTAATATACATTAGAGAAAGCAGAAGAGATCGAGTTTCCTATAGAGCGGCTGTATCTCTATATACTGACGGATCGGAGGCGGATTGTATTGTGGGAGCGACAGGCTACTCTGAGGAACTCGGCGTTGTTCTGAGACTTTGTTTGGGGAAGTACAAAACCATCTTTCAAACGGAAGTTCATGGCATCCTTGAAGACTCGAAGGCAAGGCAAGGAACAAAGTTTGGCCAGTGCGGTGACACTGGGTTACTCTTTTAATATATACCCTTGTACTGGCTAAACAGAGGTGGTTAGATGCCCAGACTTATAAAATATCACGATAACATTGGCCTGACTTTACCACGATGAAAATCTTGGATTTGCTTAATAGTTAAAGGATAGAAGCACTCAGAATTGCAGCAAGCATTCGGAAAGAATAGGACTTTCCTACAATACAAATTTCTGCACCTAGCAGCCATTGGCGGAGAATGTTTAAGTAGACGTTGGTAGAGTGAAAAAATTATGTACGTAAATGATCCGATCTTACCGAAGTCTCCTGTGGAATGAAGATCCTACTGTCTTCTGTTGGGCTAGTAACGGAACACCAACCATAGGAGCAATAAACCGATGACGTTTCAAACCAGTCCAATCGAATGCTATCCCATTAAATCCAATCCAATCTAATGCTATCCACACCAACCCAGCTTAATGTCCAACCTAACCTAGATAGAAGTACAAAGCGCTTCAAGCCTCTGCCTTGGTAGGTTGAACAGTGCTTTCATTCTGCGCTTGCTAATGCATTCGAAAAATGCAGGTTTTTGGGTAACTGGACATCGCGATAAAAGCTGAAATCAGAATATATCACATGCTGATAGAGTTATCAGCTTTTCGATTTTATGATCGCCAAAGGTTTATTCAGCGCAGGAAAGTACGTCTTTGCTCCGTACCCACGGCAATCAGGTCTACGAAATCGAAACGGCCCAGATTCATATCTGGCCAAGGTTTGTCACTCTAGCATAATTTTCGAAAACTATTTAGGTAATTTGTAGACTGTTGCAATAACGACAAGAACGTATTTGCTCGACTGGACCGACACTGGAGAGTTTGTATGCTGTTACAACAACAACAACGTCTTTGATCTTACGAAATAACGGTTTCACTGATTGCGGTTCGGAAGTATCTACATATGTGATCCTACTAGGCTCTGCGCCATTTGAAGAAGTTTTAGTGTCTAGAAGTTGTTAGTAGTCGAGCAAAAAGATTTGTATTTTCGAGAGAAGTTATCACAATACTGTCTGCGAACGCATCTATACTCCAAGGATGGTTAAAACCAGCGCGCCCACATCGTAGAAACTCTTGCCCATAGAAAAAGGAGGAATCAATTGATCTCTCCCTGCGCCGATGTCGTGGCACGAAGTCGACAACAGCAGGCTTGCGACACAAATATCTGGGTCCGTGCTGTTTCACCTGTCTAGCGTAGATAGTAGATGGAGTTCTTGGATCTTTCCTTTTTCGTTTGGGATATATATCCTTGCATTTTTCTTTGATAAAGGAACCCAGTAATGAAAATTAGTGTTCCCGGCTCTCTCTCCGAATGATAGTGTGGAATTCTCCACACAAGCCCTTGTAACCTAACCAAGCCTTGGAGAGGTGACCCTGATATTTAAAATGTGGTTGGATGACGGAAAAATGCTTTCAGTTGTCCCGACGCAGTGATAGTCTTGAGTCCAATTTGCGTTTGTTTCTCCTTCTCGTGTCTACTTATGTATTTCAAGTCGTAGTTGTTCCCCGCTAGCCTAATACAGTTAACAAAATTTACAACAGCTATTTCGCTTCCTCATGCGGCTGCCATCGTAATTTATGACCCGCGATTATCTCCGCCAACAAAACCATTTAAAATCACTTTGTATTGCCTTACCGTTATGTTAATTGGCATAACTTTGACATTGAAAATTATAATGGATTTTTTATATTTATGTTTTTGTTGTGAATACCGCAAAAACTAAA